CAAGTTTGGGCGTGAACACAATACCCAAATATCTATAAAACAACACGGTTTCAATATATACACTATTAAATTTCCATTTTTCATAATGTCTAAGGGGTCCGCCATTTCTGAATACCATAACTTTGGTTTTCTTCAAGTTTACCTTCATGCCTGTGGTATTGCAAAAATGTTCCAAGGCATTGATCTTCTTTTGTAAATTTAAAGGTGTATCAGCAATAGATGACACGTCATCAGCAAACATAAGTGCATATATTGCTGGGCAGTCTTTAGTAATAAAGACAGTTTGTCCTCCATAATTTTCCATAAAATTTACAAGTTTATTTATGAATATTAAAAACATCTGAGGGCTGAGGATGCATCCTTGACGGGTACCTATATTACACTTAAAGTATTTGGATAACCCAGTAGGTGTTCTAACACAGACACACAGTTTATTGTACATTGATGTAATAATAGACAAAAACTTTCCGCAGACACCAATATCAGCCAAACTCTGTAACAACATATTGTGATCAACATTATCAAAAGCTTTTGAGAAATCTACAAATAAGCAGTAGAACCTTCCTTTCTTTTTACATGCATACTTTTGGATAATGGCCTGTAGTGAAAATATATGATCTGTCGTGGAATAGCTGGGTCTAAATCCAGCTTGAGATTCGTCAATGATATTGTTATCATCACACCACCTCTGTAGTCTAGCATTAAGAATAGATGTAAATACTTTGCATATGGTATCAATGAGTGATATACCTCTATAATTGTTGGCATCATTCATATCACCAGACTTGAACAGAGGACAGATGATACTTTTCCCCCACACATCTGGAAAGTTACCACTCTCAAAGATTTTGTTAAATGTAATAACTAAAATTGGTGTAATTTGTTTCTCTGAAGACTTTAAAAATTCAGCAGCAATACCATCAGGCCCAGGGGATTTATTATTCCCAAGCTGGTTTATTTGACTTGATATTTCTTGTGCTAGAATAGGAATGTTAATTGTTAGATCATTATTGTCAGGGATATGGTACATACTGCTATCAAGTGCAAGATCCTGCCTAAAAAGAAGAGACATAAAATGGTTAGTCCATTGCTCAGTATTAATTGATTGAGTGACTGCATTAAATGGTTTACTATCCTTGAGCAGTTTCCAGAACAACTTTGGGTTGTCTGTTGCAGCTATCAGTTTTTCTCTCTGTGCTTCAAGAAATGAGTTTTTCTTTCTACTAAAAGCACTTTTAAACATTGATCTTAAGTGTCTAAAAAGTGAAAAATCTTCCCCATGATCTCTGTGAGCTCTCAGGGCTTTGTATTTGTCATGTTTAATTAATTCAAGTTCATCATCCCACCAGGGAGGCTGCTGATTTCTCCTGAAGTTAGAATTTAAACCATATACGTTTTTGGTGTGTTCTGCAGCTTCTTGATAATAACTAACTAAACAAGATACTGCTGTATTACAATTATTATTAGCTAGTTGTAAGATATAATCATAATGCTCTACTAATATACCCTCAAGCTTGTGCAAGAAGGTTTCTTTAGCACCTTCATTCCACACATATTTCTCCCAACTGCTTCCACCTCCCTTTTCCAGATTACAGTTGGAGTTACTCCTTGTATTACCTGGGGCTGGGGGTTGACTATATTTACCAGATGAGGTACCCTGAATATTGAGTGAGCAATATGAAGGGGAAGTGATTGGAGTGATCCTGTGTACCAACCGCAAAGTTAGAGAAATATGGAAAGAGAGAAGAGGAGGCAATCATGTAATCCACAGCACTTGATCCATTATGAGTAAAGGGGCGGTCGGGTAGCCTAGTAGTTAAAGCGTTCGCTCGTCACGCCGAAGACCCGGGTTCGAGTCCCGACATGGGTACAATGTGTGAAGCCCATTTCTGGTGTCCCCCGCCGTGATATTGCTGGAATATTGCTAAAAGCGGCGTAAGACCATACTCACTCACTCACTCACTCATTATGAGTAAAACATGTGAATTCACCATTTGTATCATTAAACAATCTCCCATTCAATGTGTGAATACCAAAGGTCCTACACAATTCAACAAGTCTTTTGCCAAAATTATTATGTGTCACTGAGTCTCTGTTTTTTCTTGGCATATCAAATGTATCAGAGGGATAATCATCAACATCTCTCTGAATAAAGTCAATATTGTCATCAGGGATATAGTCAAGGAAGTCCTTTGTCCTTGCATTAAGATCACCAGCAAGAAATATATGCTTGTGTGGGTGTTCCCCAACAATAATGTTCAAGTAGTTTTCAAGATGAGTAAATCCATCACTATCTATATTCTCATTAACTGGTGAATTTTCGGGTGAGATATAAGTAAATATCAAAACACAGTCAGGAGTCCCATGATAAACTTGATGTTTTGAATAAAAGTACAACAGTATTTTCAAAATTATCATAAAGCCTACATAACAGTCCACTATCTAGCCAATGAGAGCGTATCAAAACAGTGATACCACCACTATATCGCCCGAACGTGTGTCACTGTGTGTCTTGGGAAAACCGGACAAGAAGTCCGAGAATTCATCGGACCGTCTCACAAATGACTCACAAAACGCGATCAAGTCAAAATGTTCACAAAGACTTTTTACCTGAGATGTCGAGTTTTCATATTTTCGCAGTCCTTCTATATTCCACGAGAGAATATCAAATGTTGGGCCGGGCCGTCACATCACTTACCAAAATTGTCAACATTGGGAGTTAACTCCCCTGAAGGAGGTGTGTCTCGGTTTGTGTTGCTTCCGGGTCCAAACAAATCACTCCGTGAACGATCGCGAAAAGAGGGCTTTGCATCACGATGCGTTCCCCCACCTGTAGACACCTTCTTCACACACTTGTCTTGTCGGTCGTACATATATACCTGCCCTTCCACAATAAGCTTGTTAACACGTATCTTAGGTCGTTTCCCGCTGTCTCTGGCTTCTTGAAAGTAGGTAGACAGTGCGCGTCTATCCTCTCGTATTTTCTGTGGGAAATCCTCTGTTACACGTGATCGGTGATTTCTATCTTGTTGTTCCCGTCCTCTCTTGAAAATATCACTCTTGTCTTTTGTCAGTAGGAATTTAGCTACGATAGGAGAATCACTATTGCCAGGGTTGAGGGTGTGCAGGCTAAAACGGCACCTCAGCAAAACGTCACCGATTTCTCTGGCGAAAACGGCTACTATGTGTCGGGCGAAAACGGCACCTCTATTTTTAATAACGATAACAACGATTTTTGTGGTAATATATGGGTCATTCTAAAAAAAAGTGAGATTTTTAGTCCAAGTTGAATAACAATTAAAATATTTATTTTAGATATGTTTAAACACAAGTGTTTTTCGTAGAACATACCATGGTGTCTGAAAGTTAAGTTCCAGTAATTCTTATTATGTATTTTATTTTAATTAAAACTGCTTAATTGCGGTTAAATTGAGCTGAAGGGTGTGTCCGTAACCCTTAGTTTGCACATCAACATTGTTTAATGTTGCTAAAAATAAAAAATATTATGTAAAAAATGTTTATATATTGTACATTACCTTTCTAACTCATGGAATAAAATTATCTTTTAAAGATACACACTTTTATTTATATTGGTTTTTGGTAAGAAACACTTGTACATAAAAAAGTGTCTGTCCGACATGATTTGTGTTGAACTTTGAAAAATATTGTTCCAGAAAATTTAATTGTTAACATGGTAACAGGACAGACATATTTTTCCTGTTGAGGCGGTGAGCACGAATGATAACAATATCATTTGCCTTCTCCATGTGTAACTCGTCGCGCAGAAACTCTCTCACATTTGACTCGGACTGATCCCATGTTTCGCCCCTCTCTCCAGATATTCCATGGAATATTAAGTTGTTTCGCCGCTCACGACACTCTTGATCCTCGAGTTTTTCTTCCAAACTAGACAGAGCAAGTCTCAGTTGTGTATTTTCATGTTGAAGCGAGGCTAGCTGCTCGTGGAAATCAGACGCCATTTTTGTGACCTTGTCATCGAGTCTCTCAAATTTATTGTTTATGTCCGTGGTGTTAGATTTAATGTCCTTTAAAATCGCCATCAAGTCGCTGTTTTCATTTTCCGTTGCCGATATCTGTATCGATCCTGTTTCAGACACGGACAAAGTTGACTGATTTCGGGTATTGTGTGCGGGGCCGGACTTAGGTGGTGGGCCTGGGTTCGTCTCGACACAACCATCTGCTACAAGTAGCAAACTCAGACAGATCAAAACCCGTAGGCACATCGAGAAACACTTTTTGCTAATTTTGATACCTTTCATGCTTCTTCTCGCTTTGTTTGGTTGTACAAACAGTCCTATTTTAGCTCTATATTGGGAGAGAGAGATCCCCATGGTGGGAGCTAAGAAAAACACGTCCACCCTGTTCAAACTCACGCATGCACATTACTACAAGATACCATATCAGTACATGGTCTCTGTTACTACGTAGTCATGATTCGTTTATCCCGATATATAGTAATTCGGATGATTTCACTAGGAATGTCAACGTCCAGAACAACAACGTTCAATGTATATCATTAAATACCAAGAGCCATGATGGGGTCTAGACAAGACCTGCCTCACCTAGAGCCATGATGGGGTCTAGACAAGACCTGCCTCACCTAGAGCCATGATGGGGTCCAGACAAGACCTGCCTCACCTAGAACTATGATGGGGTCCAGACAAGACCTGCCTCACCTAGAGCCATGATGGGGTCTAGATAAGACCTGCCTCACCTAGAGCCATGATGGGGTCCAGACAAGACCTGCCTCACCTAGAGCCATGATGGGGTCTAGATAAGACCTGCCTCACCTAGAGCCATGATGGGGTCCAGACAAGACCTGCCTCACCGAGAGCCATGATGGGGTCTAGATAAGACCTGCCTCACCTAGAGCCATGATGGGGTCTAGATAAGACCTGCCTCACCCAGAGCCATGATGGGGTCCAGACAAGACCTGCCTCACCTAGAGCCATGATGGGGTCTAGACAAGACCTGCCTCACCTAGAACTATGATGGGGTCCAGACAAGACCTGCCTCACCTAGAGCCATGATGGGGTCTAGATAAGACCTGCCTCACCTAGAGCCATGATGGGGTCCAGACAAGACCTGCCTCACCTAGAGCCATGATGGGGTCTAGATAAGACCTGCCTCACCTAGAGCCATGATGGGGTCTAGATAAGACCTGCCTCACCTAGAGCCATGATGGGGTCTAGATAAGACCTGCCTCACCTAGAGCCATGATGGGGTCCAGACAAGACCTGCCTCACCTAGAGCCATGATGGGGTCCAGACAAGACCTGCCTCACCTAGAGCCATGATGGGGTCCAGACAAGACCTGCCTCACCTAGAGCCATGATGGGGTCTAGATAAGACCTGCCTCACCTAGAGCCATGATGGGGTCCAGACAAGACCTGCCTCACCGAGAGCCATGATGGGGTCCAGACAAGACCTCCCTCACCGAGAACTATGATGGGGTCCAGACAAGACCTGCCTCACCTAGAGCCATGATGGGGTCCAGACAAGACCTGCCTCACCTAGAGCCATGATGGGGTCCAGACAAGACCTGCCTCACCTAGAGCCATGATGGGGTCCAGACAAGACCTGCCTAACCGACAGCCATGATGGGGTCCAGCAGTCAACACAAGAACGTGCCTCACCAAAATTGAGATCAGTGTGTTTGCTATGATGTGTACATTGTACATGTTACTGCAATTTGCATAACACTATGCTGGCTGGCTGCCGGCCGCATGGAACTCTGGGTAGGAGAATGAGTCATTGCCTGGGTCACAAAGCGCATTTGTTTACGAACAAGAGAAAAGTCCGGTCACGTGATATGCAAATTAGCCTGTGACAGTGATGTTATGTAAGCTGTAGACTGGTTCCCGGATCCTCCGCTTGGTGTCGCTGCACTTGTTCCGCTTTTCAGTCGCAGGAACGAACGGGAACCAGTCTATGTAAGCTGGTTCCCGGCTCCCTTTGCGCGTCGTCAACTTGCGCCAAGCCTATATTGTGATATTGGAGACGGGGCCCAGCTTATGGTGTTATGCTGAGTAGGCATGATTTATCTGTAATAACAACCAATGGAATTAACTATTAATAAACACTGCGGGACGAAACTATAAATAGTTTGGGTATTCCCATTTTCACGTTTCCTTTTAGAACAGCGAGCATGTAGCCAGTGTAGAAACAAAAACTCACGAAATAACTTTCAGTGGCAGTAAGAGAAGGAGAATCGATATGATGGGATCCCATTGAAGACGAGACGGGAACTTTTTGTTGCTGTATGTCGAGCAAAAGGCTGAAAGTGAAAGTGAAAGTAGGATTCGCTGAACCGCACACTGGGGCGGAGTTACACTAGTCTACAGCTAGGCGTCAACCAGGATGTTATTTCAAGTCCCAGTCCACCACTTCTGAAACAACGTATTCCGTGATGTCTTGCTCTGTGAGTTGGCTTCAGTATGGTATTATGTAATCAGCTGGTATAAGTGATATGTACATTGTATTCGGAATCTGTGTAACACACTAAGGCATGCAGATAAAACGTCCGCAGTGAAGCATGTGAAGACAGAAATGTTCAAGCAGATTTCAGACAGTCTCTCGGGATGTTGAGTTATTTTGTGAAGCGTTGTGCCGCCGTTGGTCCATCGGTCGTTACACTGCCAAGCCTATGAATTTGTAACTTTGTATGAATAATACAAGCTAGTGTGTCAGTCTTATAAAGATCCCACAATTATTCATCCAACTTTAAGCACGGCCGCCATTTTGAGGTCAGCCTGTTTGTCCTTGGCTGTTGTGCTTCCTGAAAATCTTCTCGGGTACGACACTGATTGAGCTGAAGCCTGATGACATCCCTCTATGTTCAAGACTTTGGAATCCAATTTTTGATGTGGCTGCCAAGACAAACATATTGAAAAACTCATATGTCCGTTCTCATTATACAGTGATCAGATGACCACGTGATCAGATTTTGTTCACAATGTAATGAAATCGTTTATATGTGTAGTAAGTTGTAAAACTGAACACCTAGATCTGTATGTTCCAATACTATTTATTCCGATCTTCTTTCAAATATTGTTTTGACCATGCTCCTAAATTCTCTGAAACTGTATTTCCTCGCAATCTCCTCATACCTACTAGAACAAGGAAGTTGAAAAGAGGCCATGTTGAAATCCATGTTTGTGGCCATTGAACTTTTGTTTAAAATGAAATGAAATTTGGTATTTTTGCAATTCTGTTTTTCTGATATTTTAGATTTTGACCTTGATTAACCTTTAAGTTTTGAGGTGAGGTGAAATGGTGTTTAACGTCACGTCCAAAATTATTGCACTTATATAGCAGTGTGTGTGTATATTTGTTTGTACTAGTCCGGACTAATGGTGATTTTAATAGTGCTAGCCCGCTGAGATACATGCTGCAGTTTAACCCCACTCAGAAACAATATACAGGCCCAAGCTGACTAGTCCTTGTTTTAGCCCCTTAATGCGCCAGGCGGGGTAACAAGTACCATCCTTTAGCGTCTTTCGGAATGACATGGCCGGGAGTCAAACCACTGACGCTCTACCACAAAATCAAGGCGGCGTCAACCATGTCCTCTCAAAATGTATCTCAAAACTCATCCCTTCCAAAACTTAAGAAGCTGAACTTTTGCCAGTATGTTTCAAATTTAAAAAAAGTACAACCATGAAAGAATTTTGACACTCAGCAATGACGAGACAGAAAACTGAACCCTTGTATGCATAATAATTACTACCATATTCGACATAATAAGCACCCAGTGTGCTCTGAAAATAAGAAATCAGGGTCTGTTTTTAGAATTTAATTTTGGTGAGTAAAAAACAGAGTTGAAAGATTGTAAGTTTCTAAGTTTATGTACCTGAAATGATACAAAAGAAATGTCTGTGCATATTATACACGGCAGATATATTTTGCCAGAATTTTATTGCCCATAATTAAGGGTGCATATAACACACGAGTGCATATTTTACACGAATAAATAAGTCCTATGTACATTGATCAATCGAAAGAGGTGCTAATTGGGATTGTTCACTAGCCAATATATAAGCAAATATCCCCATGGGCGCTTATTATGTCTAATACGGTATATGAGAAGGTTTAAGGCATCATCTGGGCTTTATCTTTAGCAGACATACAAAAATAATACCATTAAAAGGATGAAGCTTATGAAAATATATATTAAGTTACTTTAAATTTAAAAAAGGGGCGGTCGAGTAGCATAGTGGTTAAAGCGTTCGCTCGTCACGCCGAAGACCCGGGTTCGATTCCCGACATGGGTACAATATGTGAAGCCCATTTCTGGTGTCCCCCACCGTGATATTGCTGGAATATTGCTAAAAGCGGCGTAAAACCATACTCACTCACTCACTAAATTTAAAAAAGATTCTTGGTTTGATGTGGGGTGTGTTTTTTCAGATAGCCTTTTGGACAGGTACTTTTAATATTTCTGGAAGTCTGTGTTTGACTTGAATCATAGACACCAGAGAAATAGGACTGTGGATTATGACATAGCAGTCATTATTCTTTTGTCAGCAGATTAAACAATACAGGAGGTCAATCCAAAGAAGTTATCACAAATTCTTTTCGAACTTTGAATGTCTCAAATGTTACATCACTGAAGAAGGTTATGTACGTGAGGTACTCTAGTAATATATCCTGGAATTGAAACCCCTTTTCATGATCAAAAGAAATCTCTGCTCAAAACAGAGGACATTATAGAAAATGTGTTGTAAGTAAAGTTTTAACCATGAACGGGGCACGGGTGGGCCAGTCGTCTCAGGTGCCACGATACCCTGTGCAGAGTTGCATTCCCTGGGTACGCCAGAAACCTATGATTGTGGTTTCGAATCCAGGTTCGCCCCAATTGTTTCTAGGTTTGTCAGCACCATACACATGCTCGTGGGTGTCACCAAAGTGGTTAACGTCTGAGACCTGCATCACTTCGGGCTTTCTTCCCACATTAAGCTGACAGGCCGTGATATAACTGGAATACTGTTAAAAATGGTGTTAAACCTAACTCACTCACTCACTCTTAACCATGAAAACTCACTAATGGGACACTGAACTGATGACCTTGATCTTGACATACAGCTGGTCAGCTACAGAGCCCATGGCAATGCTGTCTGACCTGCTTCACTTATTGTCACAGCATGATAAGATTCCCTCCATTTTCACAGATAGTGCATGGCGATGTGATAAGCTGAACTGTGATGGCCAGTACAGATGAGGACAGTGGACATCGTCTGGTAATGGCCACTTCAGGTGAGCAGACTGGAGGTCACATGGCCACTTCCGGTGAGCAGACTGGAGGTTACATGGCCACTTCCGGTGAGCAGACTGGAGGTCACAGGACCACTTCCGGTGAGCAGACTGGAGGTCACATGGCCACTTCCGGGGAGCAGGTTGGAGGTCACATGGCCACTTCAGGTGAGCAGACTGGAGGTCACATGGCCACTTCCGGTGAGCAGGCTGGAGGTCACATGGCCACTTCCGGTGAGCAGACTGGAGGTCACATGACCACTTCCGGTGAGCAGGCTGGAGGTCACATGGCCACTTCCGGGGAGCAGGTTGGAGGTCATGTGGACATATCTGTGTCGAGAGAACACTTGGCTATTTCTGATGTTGACACTGCAAGTTCAGATGAGGAGTACCTCACAGCAGAGGATGACTCTGGCAACAGCGTGGTCAGTTCAGACGAGGAACCTGAAGGTCACCTGGTAATGGCAGGATCAGCTGAGCATGAGGAGGACCTTGTGCTGGTGAGCCAACCAGTCACCAGATTAGGTACAGGTGGGTGTCTCTCCCCCCACCCCCCTAATGTCTCCCTGTGTGTCATTTTTGACATAATTTACCCAGGAACAACATTATTTATTAAGTGAATTATCTCCTTCTCTTAGAAGCAGCCCCATGTAACTTGGGATATCTTGTCATGTTGTAAAGATGTGATATATGTCTTAACATGTGCAGCATGTGGTGAGCAGGTACTTAACTAAGAAAGTGTTATCCCAAATATAACATTTTGACCACTTTCTAAATGGCATTGTGTATTCGTTTTATAAATTGTTCAACATTTACAAATGGAAAAACACAGATGTTCATTAGGCTTACCTAATCTTAATTCCAAAGTCAAGTGTAATTCTCAAAACTTCCCCATGTAGTTCTATGAATATTTGTGCACTCACACAACATTGTAATTACACCTCGCACAATTGTCCCTCTTTTATCACTAACTGTTACGTTAAATGCATATGACAATGTTAAAGTTTTCTTTACACTTACACCTACTCTCTCTCTCTCTCTTTCTCGATCTCGACTTGCTTGTCGTAAGAGGCGACTAACGGGATTGGGTGGTCATGCTCGCTGACAATTGCGTGGATCGATGCTGATGTTGTCAATCACTGGAGTGTCTGGTCCAGACACGATTACTTACAGACCGCCGTCATATAGCTGGAATATTGCTGAGTGTGGCGTAAAACAACAAATAGACAAACAAATTTAATGATGTTATTCAATGTTGTATGAAAACATCTGATCAATTCAAATGTTGGTAACCATGGCTACCAATGATTCCTCATATATTGGTGTTGACAGGTGAACATCCTTCAGGGAACTCCCAGGTGGCCAACACTCTGAACATCTTCACTGGACCAGCCGGACAAGGAACACTCGGGAGAGGTGAGCGTTCATGGCTGAAGGGCCAATAGATAACTAGATCTTGTGCAAGTGAGTGGGTTGGTTTTAACGCCGCTTTTAACAGTATTCCAGTTACATTGCGGCGTGCCAGCTTAATGTGGGAGGAAAGCCCCAAGTGATGCAGGTCTCAGGTCTCTTTACCACTTTGGTGAAACCCACGAGCACGGGTATGGTGCTGACAAACCTAGAAACACAAACGGCGCAAAGCAGTATTCGAACCCACAATCATAGGTTTCTGGCATGCCCAAGGGACGCAACTCTTCACCGGGAATCGCCAGCCTTAGATGACTGGGCCACCCGTGCCCTCTGATCTGATGGAGCAGATGGTTGCCTATCCTCACTTTGAATGTTATTTCCCTGGTCTAACATGTCATCCTTATGCATTGAATGATGGAGTATCCTGAAGCATTGACCATGATGTTGTGCCATTCTCGAGAACAGATCAGTGCTTATTCACAGGCCAAATGTTAAATCCTGATGTGACCTCCTATGGCATAAGATGTTGGTTTGTTGTTTAACGCCGCACTCAGCAATATTCCAGCTATATGACGGCGGTCTGTAAATCGAGCCTGTACCAGACAATCCAGTGATTGATATCATGAGCATCGATCCACGCAATTGGGATCGATGACATGTATCATTCAAGTCAGCAAGCCTGACCCCCCCGATCCCGTTAGTCGCCTTTTACGACAAGCATAGTCGCCTTTTACGGCAAGTATGGGTTGCTGAAGACCTTTTCTACCCTAGAATCGTCTTAACACAGAGAGGCATTGTATCAGATTAAAAGTTAAGATTTGAATTTGATCAAGAGGGTTGAATCTTGCAAAATGTCAAACATGGCCATTAAAAACAAGACTGAATGGAGAGGGCTATTATATATGAAGAAAGTTGTTGTGTACACTAAGTCAGGAACTCATCTGTGTGATGTATGATTCAAATGAATATTTTCCCCTAAAACTTAACACCAAAAATGTAGTTAGCAAGTATTTTGTAGTTTAATTTTAACATCCAAGTATTTGCTGGGATGGTAAATAGTTATTATTCCTCCACAGGTACCCTTCATTTGCGCACAGTCGAAGCGAGGAAGATTTTTCATCCAACTGAACCCTACAAAGCAGTGGAACAAAAATTGAAGGAATTTGGACATGTGACCATCTGCGGGGCTTCAGGAGAAGGCAAGACAACAATGGCTCTGGTGTTGGGTTCACGGTATAGGGGCAAGGACTATGAGGTCGTGTTTGTGGACAACATTGAGAAGTTCGACTTAGACCTCTGTCTTAGTAGACACCCCAGAGTATTTCTCATAGTAGATGACATGTTTGGTACTGTTGGATTATCTGCAAATACGGCACAGATGAAATCCTTTCTAAACAACATTCTCCTCCATTTAGAACAAAAGCGGACTGCGGAAAAGCTGCAGTCAGAAATGCATAAGTCAGAAATGCATGAGAGCAGTGATGCTGTAGGTACATCCAGAAAGAAAGTGCAGAGTCAACCAGAATGTCAAACAAAGGATATTCGTGTTGTCTTCACATCAAAGTCGTACAACTTCCATGATGGACTTGCAAAACTGCATTATGAGGGTTTCAAACTGTTCAAAGGTCAAACTGTAATGGATTTAACCACACAAGATAAATACTTGCTTTCTGACAAAGAGAAAAAGACAATATTTGAACGACATAAGAATGCTCTTGGTGACTGCTCCAAGGAACATATACCAGATTACAGTGAGCTGGAAATGTCTTCAAATATCTTTGGATTCCCTCTTATTTGTAAACTTTGTTTTGAATTTGCATCTTTCTACAAAACTACAAAGTTATTTTTCAAGGAACCACTGTTTTATCTAAGGTTAGAGCTAAAGCATTTGCTTGAAGAGAGAAATGACCGATCAGCCATTTTGGTTCTGATGCTACTGTGTGAAGACAAATTGGACCTGGCCAAGTTAGACAGTGGAGGCGAGGACAGGGAAATGGACAGCCTGGTCAAAACTGTTTTACAGCTGATGTCTGATGCAACACGTTCAGGCATGTACAAAGCAGCTAAAAGTTTGAGAGGTACATTCTTCACAAGAGGAGACACTGTTGGCTTTGCTCATTCTTCAATCTATGATGCTTGTGCCTGTGCCTTGTACAATATCAGTCCAATCTTTGTTTTGAAGCACTGCAGTGATGATTTTCTGTTTGAAAGAGTACAAGGTGATAAGGTTGAAGAAACCAAAGTTGACGATCATCTCCATTTGATATATGTCTCAGAGAATTATGATGACCTGCTTACCACAAGGATTGCACAGTCTATTAAACAAGGACAGTTTTCTAAATCAGTGACACATCCAATTCTCAAACAAGACAGGACAGTTTCGAAACTGCTTAACAAACTTCGGAGCGAGGGGATGAAACAGCTTCATCAGCATAATGAAACTGATTCTAAAGAAGAACCTTGGTTTCACAAGAAAGAGAAAGGACAATGTTTTCTGTATTGGGCAGTTCTTGGACATAATGCATGTCTAGTTACAGATATAGAACACACAACTGGAGAAGAGTTAACTCAAGGAGAGATCAGTGAGGCTTTGGAAGTATGTGCACAAAGCAACAACGTGACAGCATTTGAATGGCTGTTCAGCAGGAGTGAGAAACATAACCATCAATTGACACTAAACAGACTTTCGTTGGTAGCTGCTGCAAATGGCAGCTCTGACACACTAGTGTATCTGCTGCAGGAGGGCGCTGATATTAACACCCGTGACAAGGACATGCAAAACAGCTTACATCTGGTCTGTAAATCAGGAATGGAAAAAACCCTGAAAGTCCTGTTAAACAGGAAGCCTGGGAATAATGTTATAAACTCTATTGATGTGAATGGCAGGACCCCAGTCATGGTTGCAGCACAAACAGGATCAGAGGGATGTTTTCAGTTACTGCTGACATTATCAAACTTGAATGTGAAAGATAAACATAGCTACGGAATTATTCATCTTGCCTGTATTGGTGGTAACAAGGCTATAGTGCAACACGTCCTTTCCCCTTCTAACATCAACAGTAGAGGCAGACATGGATGGACACCAGTGATGGCTGCAGCTGTCAGTGGACATCAAAGTGTGTTTGACCTCCTTGTGTCAAACCAAGCTGACCTCACACTGGTGTCTACATCTGGTGATAGTTTACTTCATCTTGCCTGTCAGGGTGGGAACACAGCTGTAGTACAACATGTCCTGACCCCTTCTAACATCAACAGTAGAGGGATGAAAGGATGCACTCCTGTGATGAAGGCTGCATACAGTGGACATAAAGATGTGGTTGACCTCCTTGTGTCAAACCAAGCTGACCTCACACTGGTGGATACATCTGGTGATAGTTTACTTCATATTGCCTGTCAGGGTGGGAACACAGCTATAGTACAACATGTCCTGTCCCCTTCTAACATCAACAGTAGAGGGGAGTATAGATGGACACCAGTGATGGCTGCAGCTGTCAGTGGACATGAAAGTGTGTTTGACCTCCTTGTGTCAAACCAAGCTGACCTCACACTGGTGGATACAGATGGTGATAGTTTACTTCATCTTGCCTGTCAGGTAGGGAACACAGCTATAGTACAACATGTCCTGTCTCCTTCTAACATCAACAGTAGAGGCAGACATGGATGGACACCAGTGATGGCTGCAGCTGTCAGTGGACATGAAAGTGTGTTTGACCTCCTTGTGTCAAACCAAGCTGACCTCACACTGGTGGATACAGATGGTGATAGTTTACTTCATCTTGCCTGTCGGGGTGGGAACACAGCTATAGTACAACATGTCCTGTCCCCTTCTAACATCAACAGTAGAGGGGAGAATAGATGGACACCAGTAATGGTTGCAGCTGTCAGTGGACATCAAAGTGTGTTTGACCTCCTTGTGTCAAACCAAGCTGACCTCACACTGGTGGATACAGATGGTGATAGTTTACTTCATCTTGCCTGTCGGGGTGGGAACACAGCTATAGTACAACATGTCCTGTCTCCTTCTAACATCAACAGTAGAGGGGAGAATAGATGGACACCAGTGATGGTTGCAGCTGTCAGTGGACATCAAAGTGTGTTTGACCTCCTTGTGTCAAACCAAGCTGACCTCACACTGGTGGATACAGATGGTGATAGTTTACTTCATTTTGCCTGTCAGGGTGGGAACACAGCTATAGTACAACATGTCCTGTCTCCTTCTAACATCAACAGTAGAGGGATGAAAGGATACACACCTGTGATGAAGGCTGCATACAGTGGACATAAAGATGTGGTGGACCTCCTTGTGCAGCACAAAGCTGACTTCACATTACTAACAGACAGTAATGATGACATTGAATGGGTAGCTCAGAGGGGAGGACATCCTACACTTGCCAAGTATCTTCAAACTGTTAAACAGCATCACTGATTAACCTGTCTCCTGTCAAATGGTTTATGATTTAATGAACTAAAAAGGGTCAATCACCATGTAAGACTCCAAAAGAGTGCACCTGGAGATATGATGTGGTGGTTTAAGTTTTGTGGAAAATTCAATGGTTCAGTGCAGTTTTTAGAAGCGACTCCAGTGACGCCAGCACAGATGCGTGGCAGGAGGGTGGAACACAGAGCTTGTCAGCAGTGGGAATCATGTTTTGAGAATCGGTGGCATATGCAAAATCCTAACAGTGACAGTGTGGGCAACCATGGAATTCAGTTGCCACGGAAGCACGATATTGTATATAACATAGCATTGTGGGAAAAAAGTGACAAAACCCTTTCCATATTTTCTAAGAAATCACTGCCGAGAACAGAACCGATTGTACGATTCCATCTGTATCATGAGCATGTGCTTACGGATCACTATCAACATTATGAAGTCATCGATGGAATGTTCCAGGCTGAGGCCAATGTCTCAGCTATTTGAGTATTAAAGAAAAAGTGCAATATAAAATTACTGATATCATGTTACAATGTAAATGTACATTACCTGTTTCGAGATTTGCGATTGTTAAACAGTATTGGATCCCCATAAATTTCATGTGGAACCGATATGTTTGTCTCCCAGCAGACATCCTTAGAGAATGCAGAGGCACTTGATACTGTACCTGCTTGAAGGCATTCATAGTGATCTGCTGTCTTTGTGAAGGATGCTTCCCAGCTATCTGTCATTAGTTGAAAGTTCCCTATGACCGCCTCCTTGGTCTAGTGGTAGAGCGTCCGCCCGGAGAGCAGAAGGTCCTTGGTTCGATCCCCGGCTGCGTCATACCAAAAGATGTTAAAAGATGGCACTTGTTGTTACCCTGTCTGGCGCTCGGCATAAAGGGGCTAAAACAAGGACAGGTCGGCTCGGAGTCAGTATACTGTGTCTCAGTGGGGTATTCATGTTTAACTGCGGCATGGTATCTCAGTGAACTAGCACTATAAATCGGCATCAGTCCGGACTATTACAAGCAGCCACACACACACACGTGCATGCACGTTGCTATATAAATGCAATAATCTTGGACGCAACGTTAATAATAATGATACATGCATTTATATTGTGCCAGATTCCATTCGCCACCTGGATGTTCATAGCGCTACACTATTATTACCCCGGTCAATGTATCAGTGAGCACTCGATTTTCATTCTCTCCTTACTGGGGAGTATGCTAACGCTAGAAGGTTAACAGCCACATTACCATCTCGTCCTACCGGGTACCCACTCACTGCTGTATTTCACCTCATCTTTCAGTTCCTATTGTTGAACTGTAACGTCTGTTGTATGCATCATGGGGATTCTTGAACTAGCAAAGTGGTCAGTACCCCACTTAAAGGGATACCTCATCTCCGTGTGTGCAGCCGGATGTTTCCAGTCATTGTCCACCTTCTTCATCTGTTCACTGGAGTTTGGTTTGGTTGGTTGGTTGTTTTACGCCGCACTCAGCAATATTCCAGCTATATGACGGCTGTCTGTAAATAATCGAGTCAATAAACAGTAATCAAAGAATTCAGTGATTGACATCATGAGCATCGAACCCCACAATTGGGATTGATGACATGCATCAACCAAGTCAGCGAGTCTGACCACCTGATCCCGTTAGTCGCCTCTTACGGCAGGCATAGTCGCCAGTTACGGCAGGCATAGTCGCCTCTTACAGCAGGCATAGTCGCCTCTTACGGCAGGCATAGTTGCCCATTATGGCAGGCATGGGTTGTTCACTGGAAGATACCAAGTCCTAAATATTCATCATGTGTTCGATTCATTTCATCCTTAAGTGACTAACAGTCTCGCTTTTGGCATGTGAACTGTGTTGATGCCTCCCCTGAGCTCTCTGCTTATCAAGCTATGGTCACATTTCATCAGTAAAATTACTTGTAAATAGAAATAAATCTGTACAAATCTCTTTGTTTTATGTTTGTGTTTTTGTGTGAAGGGACCGCTTCATTATGTAGTGGATTGAACATCTGCCCTGAGAGCGGTGGTTGGTGGTTTGATTCCTGACATTAAAATATGGTACTTGTTGTTACCCTGCCTGGTGCTTTGCATTGAGAGATCAAACAAGCACTGGTATGTGTCGGAGTTGGGAATCTGTGTTAAATTGGAAACCCCATTTCACCTTGCCACACCTCTTTATTTGATGAATTCAGAGTGAGTGTATGAGTGAGTTGGGTTTAACCCCGCTTTTAACAGTATTACAATTATATCCCGGCGTGTCTGCTTAATGTGGGAGGAAAGCCCGAAGTGATGCAGGTCTGAGATGTACATTGTATACCACTTTGGTGAAACCATGGACCACGGGTATGGTGCTGACAAACCTGGAAACAATAGGGGCAAACTGGGTTTCGAACCCACAATCATAGGTTTCTGGTGTGCCCAAGGGATGCAAATCTGCACAGCAAATTGCAGTGCCTCAGACAACTGTCAGCGTACCCCATGTGTCCTTGTTTGCCATTAACATATCCCATCAGGTACCCCGTGTGTCGTAGCATCCCATCAGCGTACCCCGTGTGTCGTGGCATCCCATCAGCGTACCCCGTGTGTCGTAGCATCCCATCAGGTACCCCGTGTGTCGTGGCATCCCATCAGGTACCCCGTGTGTCGTGGCACCCCATCAGCGTACCCCGTGTGTCGTAGCATCCCATCAGCGTACCCCGTGTGTCGTAGCATCCCATCAGGTACCCCGTGTGTCGTGGCATCCCATCAGGTACCCCGTGTGTCGTGGCATCCCATCAGGTACACCGTGTGTCGTGGCATCCCATCAGGTACCCCGTGTGTCGTGGCATCCCATCAGCGTACCCCGTGTGTCGTGGCATCCCATCAGCGTACCCCGTGTGTCGTGGCATCCCATCAGCGTACCCCGTGTGTCGTGGCATCCCACGACACACACCAACATCCCATCTACACACCAACATCCCATCTACACACCAACATCCCGTCTACACACCAACATCCTATCTACACACCAACATCCCGTCTACACACCAACATCCCGTCTACACACCAGCATCCCATCCACATAGCAACATCCCATCTACACACCAACATCCCATCTACACACCAACATCCCATCTACACACCAACATCCCATCTACACACCAACATCCCATCCACACACCAACATCCCATCTACACACCAACATCCCATCCACACACCAACATCCCATCTACACACCAACATCCCATCCACACACCAACATCCCATCTACACACCAGGATCCCATCCACACACTAGCATCCAATCCACACACCAACATCCCATCTACACACCAGCATCCCGTCTACACACCAACATCCCGTCTACACACCAGCATCCCGTCTACACACCAACATCCCATCTACACACCAACATCCCGTCTACACACCAACATCCTATCTACACACCAACATCCCGTCTACACACCAACATCCCGTCTACACACCAGCATCCCATCCACATAGCAACATCCCATCTACACACCAACATCCCATCTACACACCAACATCCCATCTACACACCAACATCCCATCTACACACCAACATCCCATCCACACACCAACATCCCATCTACACACCAACATCCCATCCACACACCAACATCCCATCTACACACCAACATCCCATCCACACACCAACATCCCATCTACACACCAGGATCCCATCCACACACTAGCATCCAATCCACACACCAACATCCCATCTACACACCAGCATCCCGTCTACACACCAACATCCCGTCTACACACCAGCATCCCATCCACATAGCAACATCCCATCTACACACCAACATCCCATCTACACACCAACATCCCATCTACACACCAACATCCCATCCACACACCAACATCCCATCTACACACCAGGATCCCATCCACTCACCAACATCCCATCTACACACCAAAAATCCCATCTACACACCAGCATCCCGTCTACACACCAACATCCCGTCTACACACCAGCATCCCATCCACATAGCAACATCCCATCTACACACCAACATCCCATCTACACACTAAACATCCCATCTACACACCAACATCCCATCCACACACCAACATCCCATCCACACACCAACATCCCATCTACACACCAGGATCCCATCCACACACTAGCATCCAATCCACACACCAACATCCTATCTACACACCAACATCCCGTCTACACACCAACATCCCGTCTACACACCAGCATCCCATCCACATAGCAACATCCCATCTACACACCAACATCCCATCTACACACTAAACATCCCATCTACACACCAACATCCCATCTACACACCAACATCCCATCCACACACCAGCATCCCATCTACACACCAGCATCCCATCTACACACCAGCATCCCATCTAAACACCAGCATCTCATAAACACACCAACATCCTATCTACACACCAACATCCCACCCACACACCAGCATCCCATCTACCCACCAACATCCCATCTACACACCAACATCCCATTTACATACCAACATCCCGTCTACACACCAGCATCCCATCTACACACCAGCATCTCATAAACACAACAACATCCTATCTACACACCAACATCCCACCCATACACCAGCATCCCATCTACCCACCAACATCCCATCTACACACCAACATCCCATTTACACACCAACATCCCGTCTACACACCAGCATCCCATCTACACACCAGCATCTCATAAACACACCAACATCCTATCTACACACCAACATCCCATCCACACACCAACATCCCATCTACACACCAGGATCCCATCCACACACTAGCATCCAATCCACACACCAACATCCCATCTACACACCAGCATCCCGTCTACACACCAACATCCCGTCTACACACCAGCATCCCATCCACATAGCAACATCCCATCTACACACCAACATCCCATCTACACACTAAACATCCCATCTACACACCAACATCCCATCCACACACCAACATCCCATCCACACACCAACATCCCATCTACACACCAGGATCCCATCCACACACTAGCATCCAATCCACACACCAACATCCTATCTACACACCAACATCCCGTCTACACACCAACATCCCGTCTACACACCAGCATCCCATCCACATAGCAACATCCCATTTACACACCAACATCCCGTCTACACACCAGCATCCCATCTACACACCAGCATCTCATAAACACACCAACATCCTATCTACACACCAACATCCCACCCACACACCAGCATCCCATCTACCCACCAACATCCCATCTACACACCAACATCCCATCTACACACCAACATCCCATCCACACACCAGCATCCTGTCTACACACCAGCATCCCATCCACACAGCAACATCCCATCTACACACCAACATCCCATCTACACACCAACATCCCATCTACACACCAGCATCCCATCCACACACCAGCATCCCGTCTACACACCAGCAACACACTAACATATGTAGAGCTATAGACAGATAATGTACATCAGGTCAGCTAGATACATATGTACAGCTACAGACAGATAATGTACACCAGGTCAGCTAGATACATATGTAGAGCTACAGACAGATAATATACATCAGGTCAGCTAGATACATATGTAGAGCTATAGACAGGTAATGTACACCAGTTCAGCTAGATACATATGTAGAGCTACAGACAGATAATGTACATCAGGTCAGCTAGATACATATGTAGAGCTATAGACAGATAATGTACATCAGGTCAGCTAGATACATATGTAGAGCTATGGACAGATAATGTACATCAGGTCAGCTGGATACATATGTAGAGCTATGGACAGATAATGTACATCAGGTCACCTAGATACATATGTAGAGCTATAGACGGATAATGTACATCAGGTCAGCTAGATGCATATGTAGAGCTATAGACAGATAATGTACACCAGGCCAGCTAGATACATATGTAGAGCTATAGACGGATAATGTACACCAGGTCAGCTGAATACATATGTAGAGCAATAGACCGATAATGTACATCAGGCCAGCTAGATACATATGTAGAGCTATAGACAGATAATGTACATCAGGTCAGCTAGATACATATGTAGAGCTATAGACAGATAATGTACACCAGGTCGGCTAGATACATATGTAGAGCTATAGACAGATAATGTACATCAGGTCAGCTAGATACATATGTAGAGCTATAGACAGATAATGTACATCAGGTCAGATAGATACATATGTAGTGCTATAGACAGATAATGTACATCAGGTCAGCTAGATACATATGTAGAGCTATAGACAGATAATGTACATCAGGTCAGCTAGATACATATGTAGAGCTATGGACAGATAATGTACATCAGGTCAGCTGGATACATATGTAGAGCTATGGACAGATAATGTACATCAGGTCACCTAGATACATATGTAGAGCTATAGACGGATAATGTACATCAGGTCAGCTAGATGCATATGTAGAGCTATAGACAGATAATGTACACCAGGCCAGCTAGATACATATGTAGAGCTATAGACGGATAATGTACACCAGGTCAGCTGAATACATATGTAGAGCAATAGACCGATAATGTACATCAGGCCAGCTAGATACATATGTAGAGCTATAGACAGATAATGTACATCAGGTCAGCTAGATACATATGTAGAGCTATAGACAGATAATGTACACCAGGTCGGCTAGATACATATGTAGAGCTATAGACAGATAATGTACATCAGGTCAGCTAGATACATATGTAGAGCTATAGACAGATAATGTACATCAGGTCAGATAGATACATATGTAGTGCTATAGACAGATAATGTACATCTGGTCAGCTAGATACATATGTAGAGCTATAGACAGATAATGTACATCAGGCCAGCTAGATACATATGTAGAGCTACAGACAGATAATGTACATCAGGTCAGCTAGATACATATGTAGAGCTATAGACAGATAATGTACATCAGGTCAGCTAGATACATAT